TCTTGCAGGTCACGGCTCATGCCGATTTGCCCATCATTGCCGTGAAAATCGGCCGATCGGCAAAATCGGCCGAATTTTCCAACTTTACCGATAAAAAAAAGCGCCAAAATACAGAAAAACGGCCAACCAATTAACCCATTAACGGTGCGAAAATCGTTCGATTTTTTTTTTTGGACAAGAAATTGGACGGTTTTCGACCCATCTATGGCCTGCATAAGGCTGGCCATACATTATACAATTTTCTTTGGATTTACCAAAAACCATATAATAGGAGGTAAAACCTAAACAACACTTTCAATTTTATCCAATTAGACAGGCTCTTGCACTACATAGTGAAAGGTAAATCTTAAGGAAATTGGCCAGAAAATTGTAAGAATATTGTATAGTGTATGGCCAGCCTTAGGCTGGCCATATACTATACAATTTTCTGTCCAATTTCTCCCCAATTTCCTTTAGATTTATCTTAAACTATGTAGTGCAAGAGCCTGTCTAATTGGATAAAATTGAAAGTGTTGTTTAGGTTTGACCTCACATTATATGGTTTTTGGTAAATCTAAACCACTTTTCTAAAGAAAATTGTATAGTGTATGGCCAGCCATATGTGTGCTCCTTGACAAATGCATGACAACTTTTTTTTTTTAATTTAACCACCCCCCCCCCCTTCAACCACGGCCATGTTATGTTACTGTCCATTTTGGATATCAGATATTAAAATATTAGGGACCCATTCATCATATTAATCCTCTGTGTCAGATGGAGCCACTGTTTACCTTATCAGAGACTACTATTTAATTACAAGTGTAAGTAGACTTCTCTCTTCTAATTGCTGTAATAAAATGCAGTAAATCCACGGCACACACCCTCCGACACACACCCTCCGCTCTGGATCACACTCAAATCTACAATCTACAAATCTACTCCAGTCACCTAGCAAAGATAAACACATTATTGATGCTGTCAGCCTGGTGTAAATGTAATGACGGGGATTGTAAATCATTTTATTAACCAGTTTTCATCAATGTTACAATTTCATGCCCCCGGCCAATACCCTTCTCTATTTAAAACTGATATTCCACTGATTGAGCTGTCGAGTTGAGTCACCTGTCGTGGTTTTATAGCCCTCGGAGTGTCAGTGCTTGCCTACAATATTCTGTGCCTCCCTATAAGTGCAGATCTGAAGGAACAATCTAGTGATGTAAAGCCAATGGGTAGGACCATAGCCCACAGTCCGTTGCTTCTCCTTGCCTTTTTTTAATCTCTTACAGTTTGAGTCTTCTTTTACTTCCCCTTTGCAAAGGAATCCCATATGGAAGAAAAAAAATGTATTTGAAATATATTTTAAAAATATTCTTCCCAAATATATTGACATGTATTTGGAAATACTACAATTTTGTCCATATTAAATATATTTCAAAATATATTTCAATAAATACAAAAAAAAAAATATATATATATATATATATATATATATGTACACTGCATGTTGAAATGTGTTTTTATATATTACATAATATATAAAAAAAAATTCCAAAATATATTCTTCAGATTTTTTGTAGCATATAAATAAAGTAATTTTAACATTGTAACATTGTATTATATTTGTAAATGCATTCCAAAAATGTACATTTGTATATTTAAAAATATTTCTCATATATTTGGTAATAAAAACGCATTTTATCATACAGTATATATATATATATATATATATATATATATATATATATATATATATATTAATTTATTGAAATATATTTTGAAATATATTGAGTATGGCCAAAATTGTAGTATTTCAAATATATGTCAATATATTTGGGAAGAATATTTTAAAATATATTTCAATATATTTTTCTTCCATGTGGGAATACATGCATTTCATTTAACATTTTCTCAAAGCTGAGGTTCCCCTATGTTCTTTAATATATTATAATGTTTTTGTTTTCTTTTTTTAAAGCTGGACTCTAGACAAACAACCAGATAACCAAATGAAAATATATACAAAGTTGCAGTTTTAACAAAGAATTTGTGTTTCTAACTATTCAGTTCTTAGATCTAAGCCTACCACAGACAAATCGAAATTCAGGTGATTCAGCAGGAAACACACATTTTGATCCATATAGGGGCATACTGGTCATACTGAAGTCGATTACTGGATTGACTTCAGTACTACCAGCTTGTCTTTTTTTTGTTCAATCACTGTCGGTGTCTATAGCAACCTGCAGTAATCATTGTGTTCTGATCACTGGGAAACTTCCGGCTGCCAGAATACAAAAGCTCAATGGGAGGGATTCCCTCATCAACACTGACTGTGTTGATGGTGGAATCAAGCAATTTGCTTAATGTATAACCTGCCTTGTACAGCACTGTCACGCAGCACAACCCTGTCTTGAAAGGCAGGAGACTTGATTTTTCTCTGCTGCAGTCTTTGGCCATCTCTTGTGCCATGTACGCAGTCTCTGACCATCCCATGTGCCATGTACGCAGTCTCTGACCATCCCATGTGCCATGTACGCAGTCTCTGATCATCTCTTGTGCCAGGTATGCAGTCCATCTCCTGTACTACACCTGCAGTCTCTGACCATCCCATGTACACAGTCTCTGACCTTGTCCTTTACTATGCCTGCAGTCTCTGACCATCTCCTATACTACGCCTGCAGTCTCTTACCATCCCACGTATGCAGTCTCTGACCATGTCCTTTACTACACCTGCAGTCTCTGACCATCTCCTGTACTACACCTGCAGTCTCTGACCATCTCCTGTACTACACCTGCAGTCTCTGACCATCTCCTGTACTACACCTGCAGTCTCTGACCATCCCATGTATGCAGTCTCTGACCATGTCCTTTACTACACCTGCAGTTTTGACCATCTCCTGTACTACACCCTGCAATCTCTGACTATCCCATGTACGCAGTTTCTGACCATCTCCTTTACTATGCCTTCAGTCTCTGACCATCTCCTGTACTACACCTGCAGTCTCTGACCATCCCATGCACGCAGTCTCTGACCATCTCCTTTACTATGCCTGCAGTCTCTGACCAACTCCTGCACTATGCCTGCAGTCTCAGACCATAGACTTGTACTAACTGCAGTAACCTCTAGAAACCAATCAGTGAGTGGTAATGATGTGCTGTAACCTCTAGAAACCAATCAGTGAGTGGTAATGATGTGCTGTAACCTCTAGAAACCAATCAGTGAGTGTGAACCAGTTATTTATGCTTACATTAAGTTTTTTTAGATAGGTCTATGACTGTGTTTTTTTGTTTTTTTTGGGATGTTGGGGTGGAGAGCAAAATTGCATGGGGAGGGGGGAGGGCAAGAAAGTATTAGACTCTGTTTAACCACACCCCCTATAAGCCACGCCCAATATTTAGTGTGATTTAACCCACACCCATTTTTTGTGCAGTGCGCTTTGCATACAGCAATACTTTTGTTCTTATTAGGAGACACCCATGAATGAATGCCCCACCACTAATTAACATACTGCTCCCCCTACATTGTCTTTCTGCTCATACAGGAAAAAAAGTGTCCTTAAATTTTTTTTTTGGAAATGTTGGCAACTATGCCTGTACGTTGAAAACATATGGATGGGGATCTGTTCCCCATCTGTCTGGCGGACTGGGTGACAGTCGGGTGGAAGCAGACAGGCGGCCCGGTTCCATCTGACCACACCATAGTAAACAGCAAGCTGTGTCTGTGTCTGCTCTGCAGTAGCAGAGCTGCCACAGACCTGTCATCCACTTGCTCAGCAGGGATCAGCGGAGAGATGCAGATATAGTGAACGCAGGGTCCGGGGAGACTGGATACAGTGAATGCAGGGTCTGGGGAGACCAGATATAGTGAATGCAGGGTCCAGGGAGACCGGATATAGTGAACGCAGGGTCCGGGGAGACAAGATATAGTGAATGCAGGGTCCGGGGAGACTGGATATAGTGAATGCAGGGTCCGAGGAGCCAGATATAGTGAATGCGGGGTCCGGGAGACCGGATATAGTAAATGCAGGGTCCTGGGAGACCAGATAGAGTGAATGCAGGGTCTGGGGAGACCAGATATAGTGAATGCAGGGTCCGGGGAGACCAGATATAGGGAATGCAGGGTCCGGGAGACCAGATATAGTGAATGTAGGGTCCGGGGAGCCCAGATATAGTGAATGCAGGATTCTGGAAGACCAGATATAGTGAATGCAGGGTCTGGGGAGACCAGATATAGTGAATGCAGGGTCCGAGGACACCAGATATGGTGAATGCAGGGTCCGGGGAAACCAGATATAGTGAATGCAGGATCCTGGGAGACCAGATATAGTGAATGCAAGGTCTGGGAAGACCAGATATAGTGAATGCAGGGTCCGGGGAGACCAGATATAGTGAATGCAGGATCTGTGGAGACCAGATATAGTGAATGCAGGGTCCGGGGTGACTGGATATAGTGAATGCAGGGTCTGAGGAGACCGGATATAGTGACTGCAGGTTCCGGGGAGACCAGATATAGAGAATGCAGTGTCCGGTGGGAGACCAGATATAGTGAATGCAGGGTCCGGAGAGACCACATATAGTGAATGCAGGATCCTGGGAGACCAGATATAGTGAATGCAAGGTCTGGGGAGACCAGATATAGTGAATGCAGGGTCCTGGTTTTAGTAACACTTTAAGGTGGTTTTACATGTTCAAGAATGTGTCATGCAATAGGAGATCCTATATTTCCTGAAGCTTAATCCAAGATTAAGACATTGTTTTTTCAACATAAAAACATTCACAATTAACTAGTAGCTGACCGCAGATAGCCGAATGACGGCTACACTGCGGCCGGCCAGTTCTGAGTGGACGTCATATGACGTCCTCCCAGTACGCGCTCTCCTGCGCGCCCCAGGGGGCGCGCACCCGGCGATCTCCGTGATCGCTGTGTCCTACGGACACAGTTGATCACGTGATGTGGTTAAAGGCCAATCACAGCGGCCTTTTACCACGTGATCAGCGGTGTCCAATGACACGCTGATTAGAGGGAAATGCAAGTGCCGGTTCTCGGCTGCACTTTCATCACGCTGTCAGATCGTGAGGAAAGTACTGCCGAGAACCGGCAGTTGTCAGAGCGGGGATCGGCACCGATCATCAGGGCACTGATGATCAGTGCCCTGATGATCGGTGCCCAGCAGTGCCACCCGCAAGTTCCGCCCACCTGTGCCCAGCAGTGCGCCCACTAGCTCCGCCCACCTGTGCCCAGTAGATCACCCACCTGTGCCCAGCAGTGCACCCACCTGTGCCCAGCAGTGCACCCACCTGTGCCACTCTGCAGTGTCCCACACCTGTGCCCAGCAGTGCCACCCACCTGTGCCCACCCACCTGTGCCCACCAGTGCCACCCACCTGTGCCCACCCACCAGTGCTGCCTACCAGTGCCACCCACCAGTGCAGCCCAGAAGTGCTGCCAGTCAGTGCCACCAGTCAGTGCCCAGGGGTTGTGCCAGTCAGTGCCGCCAGTCAGTGCCCAGCAGTGATGCCAGTCAGTGCCGTCTATCAGTACCCATCATCAGTGTCACCTATCAGTGCCGCCTATCAGTGCTGCATATTAGTGCCGCCTATCCGTGACACCTCATTAGTGCTGTCTATCAGTGCCGCCTATCCGTGCCACCTCATTAGTGCTGCCTATCAGTGCCCTTTAGTGCTGCCTATCAGTGCCCATCAGTGCCGCCTATCAGTGCCCATAAGTGCTTCCTCATCAACGCACATCAGTGAAGGAGAAAAAATACCTGTTTGAAAAATTTTATAATAGAAACAAAGAAACTTTTTTTTTTTTTTTAAATTTTTTGCACTTTTGTTATTTATAGCGCAAAAAGTAAAGCGCCCAGTGGCAATTAAATACCACCAAAAGAAAGCTCTATTTGTGAGAAAAAAATTATCAAAATTTCATATGGGTACAATGTTGCATGACCGCGCAATTGTCAATCAAAGTGCGGCAGCGCTGAAAGCTGAAAATTGGCCTGGTAAATAAGGGGGTATAAGTGCCTGGTAGGCAAGTGGTTAATGAGGTACAACACCTTCTACGTTGCAGTTGACAAAATGTGTCGCAGCAATAAACTGCCCATTTGGTAGAGCCCAACCTTGATGTATAACATGTGTCACCGCTTTCTTTTTTCAATCTTACAACAAATTAGCAAATGTACGTTGTTCATAGTGACTGCATAATTGTATCTCTCGAATTCGAAGTGCAATGAAAAGTCAGCACAGGGCCGAATTATAACACTTTAGAAATAAGATCGTCCTTTTGCCATCCAATGCCAACGTTTATGCATGATCTCTTTTAATAGAGTTTGTTGGCATGAAAACTGGTAATAAACTTAGTTTTATCTAGTAATCTATCCTTGTCTTTACTTGTTTGTCTATCTGTGTGAGATAATACAACACATTTATATGCTTTTATGAGATGTTTATTGTTAAAGCTTCATTAACTGAGGCACTCTCCCAGAAAATCGGATTTGAAATTCTGAGAAACTGTCCATCTGGGATGTTTCTAACAACAGAATCTAAATATGCACGTTCTATCTATTAATAATTGTATTGTCCACCACTGGTTTTCCAAAAGAGAAGAAGATAAAAAAAATTTCATTTCATTAAATCACAATATCCAAAACGGAGATTTCTGTGCTACGAAATGTGGATCTCAAGTTGAACCTGTTTTGGTTCATCCGATCCACCAAGCTCATCAACATCTTTGGTATACCTCATGGAGGATATCATCTACGTATACAGTATATGCAACAAAACAATGTGTAGCAGGTACATAGACAAGTCCTCCATTCCAAAAAAGGCCATGTCCCTATTTCTCCAGGTACAGGTTTGCATATGATTAAGAAAGGTTGGCAATCAGGTGTTCTAGGTTCATAAAATCTTCTTTAACCCCTTGGCGTCAGCGCCTCCCGACCCTTTAAGGGTTCCCGAAGCCAGGAGGTGGGGCTCGGTTTTAAGGTCATGTGACTGCCGTGATTCGCTGTCACGGCGGTCACATGATCGGGAAAGGTCCCGATCAAAAGAGGAGATCAGGACCTTTCCATGAGTACCGAATGTGTGTGTTACTGGGAGCGCACAGGGCACGCGCTCTCAGCACATATTTTTTTTTTTCAATAGAATGCAAATGTGCGTCCGCTTGGTGTCTAGGCCCAGATGCCGGGAGGCCGCACATTTGCGTTCGGCTGGCGCCAAGAGGTTAACAAAAATCCATCAAGACTAACAGAACCCTATACAGAAAGTTTTGCGTTTTCAGGTCGGTTGGGCTTAAGTCATATGGTTAAAAGCCCACACAAGCTGAAACTCTGTAACACTTTTTGTATAGGATTTTGTTACTTTCAATGGATCTTTAATAAAGAAGACTTTATCAACATTGATCAACAGTTCTTCCCATATGGAAGAAAAATATATTTGAAATACATTTTAAAAATACTCTTCCTAAATATATATTGACATATATTTGAAACTTTGAAATGCTATAATTTTGGCCATAGTCAATATACTTCAATAATATGTATATATATATATAACTATATATATATATAATGTATGTTGAAATGCATTTTTTTATTACAAAAATATATGAAAAATATTTTTAAGAATACATTTCAAATATACTGAGTGTCTTTAAAAATACAAATCTACATTTTTGGAATGCATTTACAACTATATGTAAAATATATGTTAAAATTGCTTTTTTATATGTTAAATAAATATTTAAAAAAAAAAGTTTTTAAATATATTCTTCTGATTTTTTTTAACATATAAATAAGTCATTTTAACATATATTTTTACATATATTTGCAAATGCTTTCCAAAAAATTTACATTTGTATTTTTAAAGACATACAGTATATCTAAAATGTATTTTTAAAAATATTTTTTATATATTGTAAAAAAAAAATGCATTTCAACATACAGTACACAGCACAGTGGCTAAATGGTTAGCACTTCTGCCTGGCAGCACTAGGGTTGTTGGTTCAAATCCCAGCCACAGCACCACCTGCCTGGAGTTTGCATGTTCTCCCTGTGCCTGTGTGGGTTTCCTCCAGGTACTCCGGTTTCCTCCCACCCTCCAAAGACATGCTAGTAGGTTCATTGGATCCTGTCTAAATTGTCCCTAGTATGTGTATGCATGTAAGTTAGGGACCTTAGATTGTACGCCCTTGAGGGTTAGGGACGGATGTGAATGTACAATATATATGTAAAGCACTGCGTAAACTGACAGCGCTATATAAGTACCTGTAATAAATAAATATATATATATATATTTATTGAAATATATTGAATATGGCCCAAATTGTAGCATTTCAAATATATGTAAATATATTTAGGAAGAATATTTTTAAAATATATTTCAAATATATTTTTCTTCCATGTGGGTTGTTGCTGGGCACAGGTGCTGCTCTTTTGATAGTACTGTGAGTTGGATGGATTGAAGCACCACACTATCTGTTTGGACATGGTGGGGCTGATGTTGTTCCCATCGCTGCACCCTGTACATGAAGGTAATGTGCCCAAAAAAAGAAACACATTATGTTTTTAAAATAAACATTTGCTATAGTTGAAAAAACATTTGTGTTTTACTAGACATCCAAGTTATACCTTTGGAAATTATTGACTGCATATTCTTTCAGCTTGCACAGAAGTGGTCATTTCAAGCATTAAACTCCTTATACATCTTCCAGGGTACATTTTGCAACTATCACTTATGGAGCCACTTGGTTTTTGAGACTAACATATTTGTGGTTTCCAAGCAGAATTAAGGGGGACTGAGACATAAATATATAACATTTTTGGTTCTGAATATTAATGCAACTTCTATTATTTGGGTCCTTAATTGTATCATTCTATATTTAAGTTACAACCCATTTTTCTTGTGGTTAACGACATACAATATATTATATATTGGACTTCTCCATTACTTTAAAAAGGATCCATATGTATACATTTGTGAATATAATAAAGGTGATTTAATTTTTCCTCGATCACACTCCAACTAAATTTCTTTATTATTAGTCCCTTTTCCTAGTATTGTGAGCGATAGGGAGTGGTAATCTGAAATAATTCTCTTTATTTACCTTATAGGTGTATGCCTGTTTATAAATCCCCAATTAGTTTTGCATTAATGTGTGTCTTTTCACCTGCCCCAAGTTCAGCTTTAGCCTATGCATTCATTATATTAGGAGATTTAGGAATCACTGTACTGGCACCATTTCTAGATTCCACTGGATAATATCTAATCAGCAGTTTTAATTGTAGGCGTGTTTGATTTACTTCAGTTGACACATTTTTGTATGTTGAGGACAACACCAGCATCATACGGGCATTGTCCTGACCTTGATTAGAAGTCTTCATGATGTATGCAAGCCTTTGTAGACAATAATAGGTTAAATAGAACGTGTATCATTAGCTTTTCTGCCCATGTGTGTAAAAACAACATTTTCCGATCTACCTAAAAGGAACATGTTTTTAGTCACTATTATACTTATAGAAATAAGAATTATATATACTAACACACATACATATATATATTGTTTTTATATATATATATATATATATATATATGTATACACACTCACCAGCCACTTTATAAGGTACACCCGTTCAATTGCTTGGTAACACAAATTGCTAATCAACCAATCACATGGCAGCAACTCAATGCATTTAGGCATCTAGACGTGGTGAAGACGACTTGCTGAAGTTCAAACCGAGCATCAGAATGGAGAAGAAAGGGGATTTAAGTGGCTTTGAACGTGGCATGGTTGTTGGTGCCTAATGGGCTGGTCTGAGTATTTTAAAAACTGCTGATCTACTGGAATTTTCATGCACAACCATCTCTAGGGTTTACAGAGAATGGTTTGAAAAAGAGAAAATATCCAGTGAGCGGCAGTTGTGTAGATAACATATTTTGTTGATGTCAGAGGGCAGAGGAGAACGGGCATTCGATTTCAGCTGCAACATTCAGATGGTAGGGTCAGAACTTGGCGTAAACAACATGAAAGCATGGATCCATCCTGCCTTCCCATATGGAAGAAAAATATATTTTAAAAATATTCACCCCAAATATATTGACTTGAAATGCTACAATTTTGACCATCTTCAATATATATATATATATATATATACACTGTATGTTGAAATGCGTTTTTATTACAAAATACATGAAAAATATTTTTAAATATACATTTCAAATATACTGTATGTCTTTAAAAATACAAATCTAAATTTTTGGAATGCATTTACAAATGTATGTAAAAATATATATTAAAATTACTTTTGTATATTAAAAAAAATCTGAAGAATATATTTAAAAAATATATATTTTTTTTAAATATATATATTATTTTTAAAATATATTTCAGATATATTTTTCTTCCATGTGGGTTGTATCAACAGTTCAGGCTGGTGGTGGTGTAATGGTATGAGGGATATTTTCTTAGCAACAGCAAGGTGTAACTAGTAAAGTGGCTGGTGAGTGTGTGTGTATATATAAATACGTTTTCAA